TCCAGTGATGTGATTCACTGAAATTTAAGTCTGACTCCCATTTATGTGATTGACTAAAAATAAAGTCTTGATTCCAACGGTATGAGTGAGTGAAAATTAAGTCTTCATTCCTAAGATGTGATTGACTAAAATTTAAGTCTTGATTCCAAAGATGTGATCGATTGAAACATAAGTCCAACTTCCAATGATGTGGTTGAATTCAAGCCCGACATTCAATGACTGGTTAAAATTAAAGTCTGGCGTCAAATAATACGAGAAGCTGAACTTTAAGTCTGATTTCCAATGATGTGACGGATTAACAATTTAAGCCTACATTCCATAATTTTATTATTTTTTACAATAATTGTGCAAATATTATTCAGGGCCAAATACCTAGTTAATATAATGTGCGAACCTCAATAAAATTACAATTTAAAAAGTAAAAAGGTACTAATTACTTGAATTTCAATTAAACACGTTTGCATTAGATAAGTGCTGGAAATTATTCTTTTAAAAGTCATGTTCAAATAATGAGGAGAATCACCACCATATGTATTAACTTGATTTTCATTTAATTCTACGGAACGTTCGGAACATGATTCAAATGTAATGATCCAAATATGTATTTATAATACGTATCATGCTGAGCATCAGTCCAATAGGATATCGTAAAAATCTATCGTTACAACTGACTCGTGCCTTCTAAGACGATATTAGATAGAAAATGTAAACTTTGCTCGATAAAGACAAATTAGTATTAAGGTGCCAACAAGGGTACAATATCCTATTTTTAAAAAAAATGGAGTTAAGAAAAGAAAGTCCTGCAAACGATCGGAGTACAGTATTAACAACACAGTATCACAGAGGCAAATTAAGCATATCATTAACTCTAATTAAGCATATCATTAACTCTAATTAAGCATATAATTAACTCTAAGATAAGGATCAGATTATTTTAGCTGTGACTTGACCCTTTTATTTGTAATCATTACGCAGCTCTTCCGATCTGCAAGGCAAATTGAAATGACCTCTCATTAAAATCAGCTGCTATGGACTAATGCGAATTTTGGCCTTCATTAGTAGTGGTTTATCTCTATGAATGCCAGAAATATATTGCCTTCTTAAATTCCATTGAAAAAAATTGAAAATCAAAATTTCCAGAAATCAAAACTTAAAGTTACTGAACAAGCATATAATGAATTTTCCTGAGATTTCTTGTAGGTAGATATACGTATATATTAATTGTAGGATCTGGTCCTCCAAATAATGTGAAATAATTTTATTAATGTCACTTTAGGAGTGAAGGATTGATTACTTGAAGATGCAAAGAAAAAAATTAATAAGCTAAATACAGAGACAGCAACTGCACTATTTGATTAGATACAAGATTATGATGTAAAATGCCTGGTAGATTAAGACACTAATATACTTTGCACTACGTGTTAATATTTATCTCCACTAGTTCAAAATATAGTGTAGATAGTCAAGAATAAGAAACGGTCGTGCATCTATTTGCTCTCTGTAATAATTGATTTAATTATCTGCTAAATTATGTGATATACTTGTTCTTTGAACAATTATTGTAATATTATTCCACTACCTGTAAACCGGTAATTGGTAAATTGTTAGTAGCAATTTGTAAAGTGGCCTGGACGTAAATCATTCGATTCCAAAGAGAAGGTTATGTGGGTAAGTTCTTGCCAAAGGTTTGAATTTATTGTATATAACATAATACCATCTCAGTGTCTGTACAAGGACACTACATGTTAATACATGCAGACCAAATGCACACCGCGATGAAACAATAAACACAAATAAAATAAGTTCAGGCTATCAGATTATGAAAATCATTAAAATTTTCAGCAAGATTACAGAAATCAAAGTTAACGTATGACGCAATCATTTATTAGCTGTTCTAATTTGAGACTTAGACACGCTACACGAAAGCAACGTAATCAGAAAATAAGAAAGAAAAAAGAGTTTAGAAGTAAACTCTGTAAATAAGAATCGGGTATACAAAAGACAAGAAAATAACGGTTTATTGGAGAATCATGTTTATAGGCAGTTTTAAAATCATGTGACAAGTAATTGAACAGTTCGATAAATATATACGTGACAAAACATTTACAAAATGAATGAAAACACTTTGCAAAATAAGCTAAGCAATACAAATATTTGCGAAATTAGTGGTATGAAAACATGATTAGATGTGGGAGGATATTGAATAGCTGTACCACCAACAGAAAAGTTTAACTCATAATTTAAAAACGCATACATATTAGGTGACCATTGCCAATAACTTAATGATGTGAACTTCTAGTCATCAAGCCTATGGAAAGGACGAGATTATGTCAAGAACGATGATATAGGAAATTTTTAAGGAATTTTATAATGTTTGTTTGAAATAGTCAAACTAGATCCTACTCCGCAATGATGTTCTAATGATGTTAAATATATATAAATAAATTATGGATCTACTAAGTTTAACTCAGAAACATACTGTTGAGAATAGTCCATTCCATAATTATTAAATAATTCCTGGGAATATATTTTTGTTTTAAACTCCTCAACATCCCAGCAAGGTTCATTTAGAGCCTTGTATATAACTAGCCGTAGCATGTACAAAAATTATAACTGCATAATTTCAATTATCAACGTGGTGTCCGTGCAGAAATGATAGTTACATCACTTCATTCGTTTGAATAATTTATATGAATCAAAATCTTTTTATCTGTTCTAATCAATTTCTTCTGTTGCTTATCAAATTTTTGTTCACCTTTTCATCACCACACTTCTTAGTGGTTGTCAATTTATTGTCAAGTTATCTCCACGTCTTAATTCTTTCCTGTGTTATGTTTCTAAGCAGCACGTATTGGAAAATCCACTCCTTTTCCGCAAAATGTTCATTATCTGCATTAGTTAATTCAAAGGCAAAATGCGGCTGTTACGTGCAAAGAGTCATATATGCCACATCATTTGAATACTACATCTTGAAAGATATTGATCCGAAACATTGATGGGTTGCAAAAAAAAAACCCAGATAACATCGACGTTGCATCACATTATTAACCATATGATTTCTCTGTCGAACCAATAATCTAGAACAAAGTTTTGAAATACGTTGAAATAAGCCAACCAAAAGTCTACAACAAAGTTTTAAAATACGTTGAAATAAGCTCACCAATAATAATAATAATAATAATAATAATAATAATAATAATAATAATAATAATAATAATAATAATAATAATAATAATAATAATAATAATAAAAAGTTTCAAAATACGTTCAAACGAGCCAACTAATAATCTAGAACAAAGTTTTAAAATACATTGAAAAAAGCCAACCAATAATCTAGAACAGAGTTTTAAAATACGTTGAAACATAGTCAATTAATAATCTACAACAAAGTTTTAAAATACGTTGAAACAAGCCAACCAAAAATCTACAACAAAGTTTTAAAATAAGTTGAAACAAGCCAACTAATGATCTACAACAAAGTTTCAAAATACGTTGAAACAAGCCAACCAAAAATCTATAACAATGTTTTAAAATAAGTTGAAACAAGCCAACCAATAATCTACAAAGTTTTAAAATACGTTGAAACAAGCCAACCAATAATCTACAACAATGTTTTAAAATACGTTGAAAAAAGCCAATCAATAATCTACAACAAAGTTTTCAAATACGTTGAAGCAAGCCAACCAATAATCTAGAACAAAGTTTTAAAATATTTTCAAACAAGCTAACCAATAGTCTGCAAGAAAATTTTTAAAATATTTTCAAACAAGCCAACCAGTATTGACGAACTCTAAGAAAAACAATAAATGGATGTACTGTATTTTCGTCTCTTTTATCAGGCATTTGTTAATGTTTATTTTTTCATTTTTTATTATACCCTTTCAAATAACGTCATTTAATAAAATCTCATTAACTTCTAAAATGCTAAAGTTTTCAGTCTATTTGAGACTGCCATTACTGCATTGTTTCTCCGCAAGCGCCGATGGAGAGATATGTCGTTGACACCTTGTCTCCGATAGAAAGATGCACTTTCGGCACTTCGTTTTTTATTCAAAAATACTTTCAGCTGGGTTCCAACTGTTTCTTAAGATGCTTTAATACGTCAATCAAATATAGGAATTTGCTATTTCACTTTGTCTCAGTACTACTGGTGTAAATGCGGTTTTGCACACGTACATAGGGACCTTGCGTCTAATGCAGCTTCCAAAACTAGCCACACAGACCTAGACTTTTTATCTATCAAAATAAATGTATTTTTTCAAGTCATTTTTTATAAATTATTTATATTGAAGTTGTCGGCGGGGTTTCAAGAGGGTTTTATCTGCAGTTCTATTCGGCCAAGATTTAATGATATTATCTGAACAATATTTCTTGAGACCTATCTTGTACGTCTTGTTGAGCTGACAATGGGAGCTGAAGAAATAATCTCGAATTCTCAGGATAAGATCCAACATTTGCGTAACCAAAGATGATGAATGGCTTTGTGGCCAAAATGGTTTAAAGTTTCATTCTCTTTTTATTGTTAGGCACTACTGTGATATCGATCGATGTATATTATAATAAATACATCTTTCGACACACATTTATAGTCTAGAGGATATTAAATCTTACAGATAAATGCCTTTCTGAGAAGACGTGTATATATATATATATATATATATATATATATATATATATATATATATATATATATATATATATATATATATATATATATATATATATGTGTGTGTGTGTGTGTGTTTGTGTGTGTGTGTGTGTGTGTGTGTGTTTCACATCCTGGTAAGATATGAAAATCAACGTTGAAGGATTAGTAACCCTCACTTCCTGAATTATATGGTAATTATATTAGGATCACAGCAAAAACTCAAAACACTACACCTGACTTCAATTCATGCCAACTATTTCTTAAAGAAGAAACTTATCCATACAATAATACATGATTCGTCGGATAAGTTATTCCGTGTATTCCTTGGCAAGGATATACAAATTATCAGACCTCTCCGGTGGCCTAACTGGTTAGAGCGTCCGCCTCGGATGCGAGAGGTCGAGGGTTCGATTCCTGGAGCTCAGCATTAAAAGGTTAGTGTTAGGAGTGGTCGGCCCGGTGTCAGGATAATGTGACTAGGTGGGGCATGATGTTGCATGTCCTCGACACCATGCCCCAGTGATAGGCATCACTATAAAGTTACATTTAAAATCCAAACCACACCCACAAGGTAAAATAGTATGTTCGATGTATTCGTTGGTGTGAATATTTAAGATATCAAGTAGGTTACACAATGTCGTTCTCAGCGTGAAGGTTTAAAAATTCAGATATGTTATTCGGTGTCTTCATTCGCGTGGATGTATTAAAGATAAAAAAATAACACTAAAAAGGTTAAATAAAATTAAGTGATGGCAGTGCACAGTTAATAATTGAACTAAAAATCATTTTAGCGTACAGGATAATAAACCCTTGTTGAATTGATAAATCATGAATACAGATACAAGTATAATAATGAGGCATTACATACATTAAAATATAATCCGTACACTTTTGCAGTTTCATATTTTTTATATTACAACATGTTGAAACATCACTTTATATAGTTTTGATTTGTACAAATAGCCCAAGAAATTATGCGCAATATTCTCTTTTACTGATTACTGATTACCTGAGGCCGTAGGAAAATTTTCACTACCCTTCCTTCTTGTTGTCATTATTGCAAAGAACATTATGGCGTCGATTTTAAACTATAATCGAGGGAGGGAATTCGGGGAATGTGAACACGTCTGTCAGAAAAATGGGCAATTTACCCACTGATGCTCGTTTCATAAGGTTATAAAATGTTCAGTTGATAGCAAGGGTGGGGGTGAGGTGACTTTTATACATTCATCATTGAGTCCACATAATATACAATATATAAATATTAACTTACGAACGTAAACATACCTCTGCTCACAAAAGAATTTGAACATAAACTGATCTCTGAACTGACAAAATGTAATCCAACCACATCACTTATGCGAGGTAAATATGTGATGCAATTCCAACTTAACGTGTTTCGTGTTCAACTCTTTTTTTTGTGGTTTCAACGTGAGATTTGTTTTTGTCATCTGTAGTCAACTGTTCCAAATTAAATAATGCAAACATCTGATCACAAATACGTTACGGTAAATATGGGAATTTCTGCATCTTTCACGCGAATATCGCAACAATGCAACGTTCAGCTGGAAAAGTGACACTTTTCTGTGTTAAAAATGATTTTGTCTATGTAAAATGTTATGACTTTTTTCTAAACGATCCTTGTTCTTTGATTTATACTTTGTAAAAGAAAGTATGAGCTACTTTAAATAAAACGTTATCTCAATTTAGATTGTCCCTTTTATCTATAAACAACAAATGAAAAGCGCAACATTTTAGTCAGAATGAACTGTTATATGGCATTCTTTTCTCTAAATAATTTTCATTGAAATAAAAACAGATAAAACGCAACAAATGGAAATGATTTAAAATTAAATTATGAATTGATTGAATAATGTCCAGCGTTGCTCGTTCATTGCTATTCTGCGTTATTGCAATTTCATTTGTATTATGCAATATTGCCCTTGTCATTGATATTCTGCGTTATTAATATTTTCGTTGACATTCTGCGTTATCACTGGAGAGGAATGTGAATATCAGTTGAAAACAATTCTAACATTTAGGAAAACTATTACAGATCTAATATAAACCCACACAAATATTAAACAAGAAACAAGTTCAGATTTTACTTCATTTATATTGAATTTCATGCGCCCAGTGTGCATTTATTACAAAAGTTAATGTGTCAGCTACGTGGAACTGAACATAGCACCGTTTTTAACTCGCATGCAGTGCTATAGCTGCGAAATTCTATTCCTAAAAATTCTTGTTTCACAATGGAAAATGCCAGGTAATTACTACTTGCCCAAGAGATTTCGATTAACCGTTGAGCAAAACATGCTGTTTGTAAATTTGTAATTGTTTTTTGGCACTAAGATTCAAGCCATTTAAATTGTAAATCGTAATTCTCATTGCAAACATAGCAAAATTACCACTTTTCTATTTTTCCAATTGGCGATGCATTCTTAATTACATGTTCTGTATGTGTAGCCTGTAAGCAACATACCAATACTATCTCGCTGCAAGTTTGCAAAATAATATTTTAAGAGATTTGTTTACGAAACCCCAACTGACCCGGATGTAATATCCTTACACAAGACTATTAGGACTACATAATATATTGCAGCAAGACTATATATAGTATGAGCCATTCTAATTTACTACACATAGATACAGCAGGAAAGCAGGAGTCGAATGTTCCATTAAACTGGCTGAAAGATGGGTAAAATACAGTAAAAAAAATAGGTAGCAAATTATCCATGTCAACTAACGGAAAGCAGGGGCATAACACAGAAAAGTAGAATTCGAATTCTCCAGTAAACTGAAAGAAATGTCAAAATGCGACAGGAGAGATCAAATTCTATAAGGGTTCAAAATGCGACAGGAAGGGTCAAAATACAGGAATGTACGCGTCAATTACTCCAAATAAACGGAAAGTCCAGTCTAAATACAAAAAGAGGGGTAAGAACACAACAAAAGGGGTCAAAATACGACAGGAGAGGTCAAATTCTATTAGAGGTCAAAATACGACAGGAAAGGTCAAAAATCTACAAGGTGTCAAAATACGATAGAAAGGATCAAAATACAGGAATGTACGCGTCAATTACTCCAAATAAACCAAGTAAACCAAAAGTCCAGTCTAAATACAACAAGAGGGGTAAGAACACAACAAAAGGGGTCAAAATACGGCACGTGGGGTCAAAATACAGGAAATGAGTCGAAGAAATTCTTCTAATAAACTTTCGGAAAGAGGGCTCACGATACAGGAAATTGGGCGTCTAATTCTTCAAGTCAACTAGCGAAATGAACGGTCAAATAAAGTAAAGAAGACGTCGACTTCTCCAAGTAAAACTAACGGAAAAAATAGCAGCTGTTGAATGCGGCAAAACGGATCAAAGAATATGTCTCCCAGGAGCACATGTGCTATAAAGTTATAGAAGAAGAGACAGATTGCGGAATGACCTTTCCTCAGACAGAGGGAAAACATCAGGATAATGGGTCTTGGAAAATTCATATTTCTGGGAAGAAAAAGAATGAAGAATAGAGATAAGAAAAGGAAAATCAATAGATACAAATCTGACAAAGACCTACGTTAGTCTAATGGAAAATTAAATGAAAAGAGGATGATATATGTGGCAAACATGGAAAAATATAAGTAATTATATATTTAGTGAAAACTGATAGGAATGACATACTTTCTGACTTTTTGTTATTATTTACCTGATTAGTATTCCAGCTTTATGCTCATATGGATCTTGTTTGGTTGAAAGAAGAAATGTGTAAAATGTGTTGATTTGTAATAAATTCGTATGCAGACTAATGACAACATTGACATTTAATCAAGCATCGAATAGCGTGATTCAGACAACCACTGGCTGAGACAATCGGTTTGCAGCTAAGTTTAGTATTCATTTCTGATGTTGCCGTAGACAAGATTTAGTAAACAGTCATATGTAGTTTTGATTCGGGTAAGATGACACTTCTGTGCTAAAATTATCTTGATAGGATGTATTGTGATACATTTAAACAGTTATACAATAATAATAGGATGATTTTGGCACAAAAAAACTCAGCTGCTGAATGAACGCATCAAACAATATGGTTCTATAACACAATAAATAGTACGTGTCTTGGGGTAGCGTAAAGAACATGTCATAGGGCAGCATGAAACACATCAAAGAGGAGCATGAAATACATGTCATAGGGCAGCCTTAAAAACAGATATGTGTGTGTGTGTTTGTGAATGAATTTAGACATCATATATGTATATGCAGATACTAGATAAAGTAAAAATAAAAGGTAAGACTCAGGTCTAAGTAATTAAAACAAATCGTCATTTTATGTCTGCTTATCTGTTTATTAAAATAAATTTGTCTTTTATTTTAACAAAACCTTTATCTGCTATAATTTGGACCACTGGCTCTAACAAATCTATAAGCTGGTGCCTTGGTTAGCCTCGTTTTGTATTCGTTGACCCAGGGTTACATTAATCCATGAGTACATTCTATAACTACATATTTTTATGACTGCAGATATTGGGATGCTTCGTTTTGTCAATACGGTACCTGACACAGTACTACTATTTTATTTTTCTCACTTGTCTGTTGTATTTTATGACCTTGTATTATCCTGAATTCATTAATCTGATGTAATCTCTGTTGAAGAGAAAAAAAGTCAGTCAGTCCGACATAATAATAATAATAATAATAATAATAATAATAATAATAATAATAATAATAATAATAATAACTTTTAATAATTAAAAATAATAATAAAAAGAAGAAAATTTAAAGAAGCTCATTTGGTCATCTTACAGATTTTCCAAGAGAACTTCTCCAATAACATTATACAATGCACAGTTTTACAAAATGAGGCGTCTTTAGACAACAATAGCTATTAAATTCTAGACAACTGATCTGCCGTTACAATAAAATGGAGTGATAGACTAGTAAACCCTTTAAAACTAAGTTCTCTGATATAATCAAAGACACTTTAGGGTTTAGAAAGAACTGATGGTGTTTTTAAATCAGCCTCAAGAATATTTGTAACTGTTCTTTTTTTGAAAGTTCCATAATCTATCCTGATTATCTGTACCATTATTGTCCCAGAAAGAACAACAATATTATACGTGTGGCTTGATATGTGCATTGTGGAATATCATTCTCTATTCTTGAACAACGTAAGATTTGTATTATGTTCAAGAGATAAAGTACTGGCTTAACTTTATAATGACCATATCAACTTGCATTCATCAGCACAAGATATTGTAATTCATGGTGCCAAATAGTTTTCAGCTTGTTGTATATCCATTCCTTTCATCATTACTTTGAATTCATTTTGTTGAGCTTTCACTCTTGCTCGATTATTTATGATTGTGACTTTTGACTTGGCTGCATTTAGTTTTATTCCACTGTGCTCACACAAGTTATTTAGTTTTACAAAA